ACCTAAACCATCTGGTGTCTCAGTGCCATCTCAGGAAAGAGACCTGAAGACGTTGCCATAGTTTACACTGAAACATTGAAGGATTTTAATTTATTTTTTTTTTTAAACGAAATGGATCAGTGTATGTAGAAAAGTAAAAAATCAGAAAATCCAATCCAGAACTGAGTTTCACACTAATGAAAACATCTCTTATTTTGCAAACACATCGGTGAAAGCTCAGAAGGTTATTCCTCCAGTGCCCTTTGCAATTGTCATATAGTGGTACGTGCTTTATCAGCGATGGCTTCGCACGGGGCAAGTACAGACAACTGCTGCTCGTTCCTTAGGGCTAGGTCTGGCCGCAGGGTGAAACTGCTTCTTTTCCAACCCACTGGATCCAAGACAGACAACAAATGTGAAACAAACGCATAGGGAAAGTAACTACTAAGTAGAAATACGGCCTAAAGATGTGGCCAGCAGAAGCTCCTCTACAAATTCAAAGGATTGCAAACAATGAAGTTTATTTCACTTTTCTTTCACTTCTCGCAGCCATTAAAAAAATCCTATCCCAAGACTACTGTATCACAGGCTGTGCAAATATTAGAGCACGGTGTGTCAACAGCTTTTGACCAAAACCAGGGTAACAGGAAACACCAACCTATAAGGCAAGTTAACTGGCATTTTTTCCCTTCTATGCGGTAATATATGATGTGGTATGTCACGATCACAGCCCTTTTCTGGCAAATTGCTGTCAATGTACACAGCTGATGGCTCAGTTACTCTGAACATAAGTTCCTATATATCTGATACTAATTCACAGTCCAATTAAGGCAGAAACATTGCAGTGGGGTTTCACTGTGCAAGGAGAGTCTATAGAGTGTTGAATTCTTTAGAAATACACTTCCATCTCTTTAGATAGAACAGCACTGGGCATCTTTCATATACACAATTCAACATTAGATACTGTTCTAGTAACACTGTCGAACGCTAGGAAATTTTCACCAGCAGTTCCTCTACATCAATCAGCAATCTCATTGACCTGCTTTCTCTTACCCACAAATAAATAATCAATCCCCAATACAATTAGACAAATTCAACTCATAGCTCTCCTAGTGGGATATAAAAGGGGATGATTCAAGGTTTTAGACTTGCCTAGTAGCAGCAACTTTCTGAGTGGATTACTGTGTAATCTTTGCGAAGTCTAGCCCTCACAAAAATCTATTCCAAACTGCAGGAAGTCATCAAGGTAAGAGGAGGTTATTAGCAACCTGTCTACACTGAAATATCACTGAAACGAAGAAAAGTGGCAACTGGAACAAAAGAACTAAGAGGAGCATTCATCCCCTCTAGAAAAAATAAACTGCCCAAATCCATTGTGCTCTATGTGATAATAATGCATTAAAATGCAGTATTATATGAATCTGAATAAGAGTTAAGGTTTTTCCTCATCTGCTATGCAATCATGTAATTGTGAGTTTCTAATTACTGGAATCCTTCTAAAAATTAGTAAACAAGTCTGCCTTTCCCCTACACAGTTTTATCAACAGTAGCTGACTCTGCTCTAGGGGGTAAAAATTATTCCTGATCAAACACAGAGCTCCCCGCAGACACATCTGAAGCCCACTGCCAGGCAGAGGCCTCCCAGGAAAGCACTTCATTAAAGCAACGGAACGAAAAGTGAGGGTATCAACAGAGGCACGACGTTTTGCATGACATATGAAAAAGGGCAGAGGAAGGCAGGGAAGTGGATGTTCCAGCCTTTGGGAGAGGCAGCAGCAGAGGAGCAGAGTTCTAGTTCCCTAATTCCACCGAGTTCCATGTTCTTCAGCTTGATTTTTTAACCACTTCCCACAGAGTGCCTAGGAAAGCCATCACGCGACTGCAGGCGTTCTCCCGGCCCTGCTTCCACTTTCACATAAAGGGCATTTTGCCCACAGTGTCCCAGCTGGAGTTTAGGTGAGCGGTGGCTGGTTTGCCCCGCGGCACCAGCCTGGACGAGGCACACAGCGTAGGTGCCCACATTCAAGCCTTACAGGCGCTGTGCGACACAGGGTACTTGTCCCTCCGTGGCTGCTGAGCTGCCTTTATCCCAGCTTGCTCCTCTCGGTTTACACGCCTCAATCCCAGATGGTATCTTAGGAGCATGAGTAGATTCTCTGTACTTTCACAACAATATTAATTCTAAAATTATTTCTAAGAAAGAAAGATAAAAGCTGAGTTTGAGAAGTGCAGACTTGCAGAGTGGAGAGCTGCCGCTGCTGTTTGTTAATGAATTCAGTACTACCACTACAACATTTTGTTAGGGCACTCTGTATTTTTATCACTACAAAGATGCCTTTGTCAGGACTCTACAACAGTTGTCCAATACATGAGATTTTTGAAGTGTTTCCCACAAATACAGCTATGCACTCACAGACCCCGAATTACAAACAATGTATTTGTTATATGCTGCGACACTTTCACACACTTAGCAGCAGCCTATTGCATTACACGTAAAATATAGGAGTCAAAAGAATTTGTAACAAGCTTTCCAAATAAGATCTTCCACAATTGGACATAAGTTCATACTTGACTTAATATTTTATAATGGCCTGTAATGAAATACATCCTGCTTGCCCGAAACCGCTTCTGTCTAAAACAGAAGATATTTGAAAGGTCATAAACACTTGGTAGCAGTAGGACTGCAGACGCCCGCTTGAATGTTTTCACTCAAGATAAATAAGGCTGTAGCAGCTGCTGCTTACAGCCCCGGGCCCATGCCCTATATCAATCAAATACACACAAACTTGTTTCACTGGAAGAGTCTAGAATAATTTATATTTTTTTTTTGCACTAACAACTATAAAACATGGCAACTTCTCCCCTCAGCTTAACAGAACAAACATTTCAGGCACGCCCTTACTTCGCAGCCTAAGTTCTCCAAAGAAACTTCTGTGGGATAGATTAAAAATGGCACCTCACTAAAGAATGTTTTCTATGTAGACAAAATAAAGCAAAACTTTCACCAAAATGCTTTCATTCCCCACACTTCCCATGGCATCTCGCCCAGCCAATCACCTCTACCCACAATATTTCTGGGCTTACTACAAATATGAGAGAACACCAGAAGAAAATGTCTTAAGTTTCAATTAATTCTTTAGTTTTGAAGCTTTCTGCACTAAAGAATGCAAGTCGCATTTGGACTGAGAGCCTCTGTGACTGCCACGCTTCATGGCTGACTAAATTGATTTCACATGGTAACTAAAACTAAGAGCACACAGAAACAAATTTCATAATTCTGCTCTGGAAACACTGAAGTAAGTCTTTGGTATGTGGCTCAGTACTAGAGTGAAGATCAAAGAAGGGACTTTGGGGGGTTGATCCTTGAGGAAAAGGAGAGCTACAGCAGCGAGAGCGGGGCACATCTCCCTGCGAGTGCCACAGGTCTGCAAACCTCTGGTGCTTTTGCACTAGGTTTGGTATGAAGCTACTCATGCCGTCGGTTACGGTGGTTCTCCACGAACAGCTATTATTGGAAAGGAACAAGGGATAATAAATAGGAAAGGGAAAATCAGACATACTTTTTTTTCCCCCCCCCCATTTCATTTTTAGTTTGAGATTTAGATCCGTTTTAGTATGAGAACACTTAACATACTGCACTGCATACATGAAAGTGAAATGAAGAGTAAAATCAGTGAAGTCTCTGCATTCCAGATTTTCCTGTTGAAAGGTTCTCAGGCTGGCAGCACAGATACTATATGCTACTTCACAGAACTGCTAGCTGATAGAGACTGAGATAAAACCTAGACTGGCAAGGAACCTATTTTTTTTTAATTTTACTTTTTAAAAATAAAAGCTTAGGGATACTTTGTGATTTTCTACTCTCAGTGTCTACGGAAGAGCTAAAAGAAGGTTATACAGGAATAACTTGGAGACTATCAGCTTTTTCATAGGCAAGCTGCAGAGTCATCCTATGGCCCTGCTGCAGCGAGCAGCTGTCTCTCTGTGCTACATTTCACTGAACCAAAGCGCAGGAGAAGGAAAACACACAAGAAACGAAGACCAGAATCTCTTCTAGTGAATCTGTTTTCACAGCTGGAGACAGAGTGCTTACTATTCTATATACAGCATCACTGAGCTCAGGAACTCAAGTGGGCAGTGTTAAATTGCACAGGAAAGCAATTTAAGCAAATGACTAATCTAAACCCTTAAGTCTCATTCCTACTTTGGTCTTTTTAAAAGTGGCTTAAAAACATAACACATCAGTCCTCTCCCATTATAACAAAGAAAACCCAGCAGATTAATTCTGTTATCTTAAAGCAAAATTAAGGCAAATACAAACAAGACAGCTCACTAAGTTGTGCCAAGCCACTTGTACAGTTGTTTGATAGGACTTGTGGCACACAAAAAGCAGGACATGTTTTTAATTTCCACAAGGCAAAAAAAACCCCAAACCATCAAGAAAGAATTCCCCCCCCCCCCCCCCCCCC